ATAAAGTTAAATAAAATAATTATAAAAAATTATAAAATGATTACATTGTAAACAATTATAAAGTTCATACTCCTATGTATGCTTGAAATTGCAGGAACTCTATAAATACATTTTTAAGAAACATGAGACTATTAAATATTCTGTTCTCCATTCAGCTGTCAAAGTATCTGAAAGTCCACCATTAAAGATCTTTCCCCTTGGAACCAGAGAGTGATGTGGTTGAGGTGTCAGACAACAAGTAGTTGAACACAATTCAAGTCCCAGACCAGGCAACCAGAAACTCACACCGAGCATATGTACATGCATGCCCAAAATCCTGGAAGGAGAAAGGATTGCAGTATGAACATCCCCTCCGGGGGATTATTTCTCATTTTCTGTCTCTCTGTCTTGCTCAGTGTCACTGGCTAGCACACATCCCCAATAGCAAAAATCTCTCTCTCTCTTCAAAAAGAATTCTTTCCCCTTAGACTAGTACATGAATTGAACAAACTATCAGGATATCAAAATAGCACACAAAAGTCAGTTGCATTGTTACATACTAAAAATGATTAATCAGAAAAGGAAATTGAGAAAACAATTTCACTTACAATAGAGCAAAAAATTAAAATATTTAGAAATAAACTTAGTAAGTAGATGAAAGTCTCCTGTATTATAAACTATAAAACATCACTGATAAAAACTTAAAAAGACACAAATAAATGAAAATCCTGTGTTCATGGATTGGAGACGTTATATTACTAATTTGTTAATACTACCTAAAGCAACCTATAGTGGACTTGTAAAACAATGCAGGGATAGTGATATTGATACTAAGAAATTGTTTATAGGAGAGGAATCTCAATAGTACATGTAAAGTCATCTGTAAAGCCTGAATTTCAAAATAAAGCATCACTAATGCCCTGTAAGAATTCATTCAGGGGACCAGCAGTTAGTGTAATGGCTATGTTGCTAGACTACCACGTAGTCGACCGAAGTTCAAGTCCCGGACCCGGTGGCTTAAACTCACGCTGGGCGCATGTGCATGCGTGCCC